TCTATTCTATTCTCTACTCTATTCTCTATTCTACTCTATCTATTCTACTCTATCTATTCTACTCTATTCTCTACTCTATTCTATCTATTCTACTCTATTCTCTACTCTATTCTATATATTCTACTCTGCTGAGATCTATTCTACTCTGGGCCTCTTTGTTTCACATTAAAGGCATGAAACCGTTAGCTTAGCTTGTAGCACAAAGACAAAAGAATAGAGAAAATAGACGAGAGCAGTCCATAGAGGGACCATCGTTGAAGCACAGCCTCCACCTGTCTCCTTCAAAATAAAATACAGACTTCCCCTTCAAAATAAAATACAGATTTCTCCTAAAGTGAAGCTGGCTGTCTTCTTCAAAATAAAATACAGACTTCTCCTTCAAAATAAAATACAGACTTCTCCTTCAAAATAATAGACAGACTTCTCCTAAAGTGAAGCTGGCTGTCTCCTTCAAAATAAAATACAGACTTCTCCTTCAAAATAAAATACAGCTTTCTCCTTCAAAATAAAATACAGACTTCTCCTAAAGTGAAACTGGCTGTCTCCTTCAAAATAAAATACAGACTTCTCCTTCAAAATAGAAGACAGACTTCTCCTTAAAGGTGAAGATACTTTCTGCTGTTGCCTTCATGTTTACCTTCAGCCCCGGGGAGGGGGGTCTACTCTGGTCTCTGCATGTTGTTTGATGGTGATGCATGATGAGTGTAGACTTTAGTGAGCTGAACTTCTTTTTATTGATCAGATTCATTTGAAACAGAACACGCTCGGGCAGACACTTTAAAGGTAAAACTTTAAGTTTGTGAACAGCTGCACAGGTCATTTGCAAATCAAACATAAGGAGGGATTTGAACGTGGCAGAGGCTGCTGCAGGTGGTGGAAGCGCTGCAGAGGGACCATATGTCGTCTTTTCCACTCGTGGAGGGAGGTGTGAGCATGTTGGATCCTGACGAGCTGTTCAGCAGCCAGCTGGGTCCGTTCTGATGGTTCAGACTGGAGGAGCTGCTGCTGGTCCACAGCCAGTGTCTCCTTCAGAACACAGCTGCAGCATTTACCTGAAGAGTCTTTATTTTTACTTTCTCACCTTGACTGCATAAGGGTTAGGGTCAAACAGAATACTTCTTGTTTGATGAACTGAAGCACAGAAACATGTTTAAGCTTCAGGGAGTGTTAAACTAGAAGTAACTGTAACAGAAGCTTATTTCTTTCCCACTGTGCCTCCTGGAAACATTTGACCGTTCTCCTGAAGTCGTAAAAGGGTCTTAGAAGGCGGCACAGGCCCATAAAAAGTGAACACCTGGTGTTACACCTGGTCGAGGATGTGGGCAGAGAAGAAAGCGCCTCAATGAAAGGTTGGTTTATAATGTCACAGCTCTATTTCTATAAAAACATGCAGGAGGGTATAAAAGACGTCCACGGGCAGAGTGAGGCACAGAGAGCAGGCTCAGTAACACTGAATAAATAACAGGAACATTAATGACACAAACAGGCTGAGGGCTTCACTCCTGAGTCTTATTACACCTGACTCTGTTACTCTTGCTGCCTCCATGTTTGTCTTTGTGCTGAAGTGTTACTGCAGAGAGTCCTACAGGAGTGAGATGAAAGGAGGCGAGAGAAGCAGCAAAGGAGGGAGGCAACGAGGGAGGTAGGCAGCAAGGGAGCGAGAGAGGCAGCAAAGGAGGGAGGCAGCAAGGGAGGCAGCGAGGGAGGTAGGCAGCAATGGAGCGAGAGAGGGAGGAAGGCAGCGAGGGAGCGAAAAAAAATTCATTCAATCTATTTTTTGTCTGCAGAGCTTTTTTTGAGGACAGGCCAGAGAAAACTAGAAGTGTGCACGGTTTACAAGTCTGTGTGCACGGTTTATATGTCTGTGTGCACGGTTTACAAGTCTGTGTGCACGAATTACGTGTCTGTGTGCACAGTTTATGTGTCTGTGTGCACAGTTTATGTGTCTGTGTGCACAGTTTATGTGTCTGTGTGCACGGTTTACAAGTCACGGTTTACAAGTCTGTGTGCACGGTTTACAAGTCTGCATGTCTGTGCACAGTTTACATGTCTGTGTGCATGGTTTACGTGTCTGTGTGCACGGTTTACAAGTCTGTGTGCACGGTTTACAAGTCTGTGTGCACGGTTTACATGTCTGTGTGCACGGTTTACATGTCTGTGTGCACGGTTTACAAGTCTGCATGTCTGTGTGCACAGTTTACAAGTCTGTGTGCACGGTTTACATGTCTGTGTGCACGGTTTACATGTCTGTGTGCACGGTTTACATGTCTGTGTGCACGGTTTACAAGTCTGCATGTCTGTGTGCACGGTTTACAAGTCTGTGTGCACAGTTTACAAGTCTGTGTGCACGGTTTACATGTCTGTGCAGTCTGTGTGCACGGTTTACAAGTCTGTCTGTGTGCATGGTTTACGTGTCTGTGTGCACGGTTTACAAGTCTGTGTGCACGGTTTACAAGTCTGTGTGCATGGTTTACAAGTCTGTGTGCGCGGTTTACATGTC